AAGTATTCGCATAAAAATCAGCAGAACATTTTCTATGTTTTGATTTGACGTGGTAATTTGTTCATCATTATCGTTTTACAACCTCGTTTCATGTAATTTATACGACTTGGTATTTGCGCAGGCGAACGAACGAAAAAAAAAAACAACTCCGACCAGAACATTGCAAATAAAATGGGAGATAACGACGAGTGTAATCAAATTATTTATGGTTTATTTATAAGCATAAATTCGTTGTGTATAGAGACTGTTTCGACTGTGTTTTTTTCGGAACACCGAATTGACTCATTTTCCGAAGAGAGTTCGAAATCTATGTGATGTTTTGCCCGAGTACGCATAACGCGGAAAAAAAACATGACAGCACTTTGGTTTGATTCTGCTTGTGGAAGCGCATACTTCATTGAGAAATGTGTTTTTTGTGTTGTTCTCTATTTGTAGCTTTGTCTTGGATTCAAGGAATCTTTCTCTCTCACTTCTTCTCTTTGGCTCAAGCACCTAGTCTAGCTCTAATTCGTTCACTTTCTCTCTGTCGCACAAGGCAACGCTAATGTCAATAAACTTGACTGTTTGCTAAAAGCAATTGGATTGTCACACAAAAATGTTACGTTGCTCGCACATACCTCGTTGCTGAGGCCAATTTGGCCGCATAATTTTGTTTTGTGCCCGTAAGCTATACGAGCATCAAGTACGTTACATCCAACAAGTAAAAACTACTATACTTTTGAACTATCCGCTTTCTCGCTCGTTGCACTGTGACAGAAAAAGGATTATAAGCGACGTCAACTGAATATTTCCCGGTTTGTGATGCATTCCGCCGTATCAAATGAATTCGACATTCCGAAGATAACGAGAAACATTGGGGCTGAAAAAAAAGCGAATACGCGGAAAACGTTCACTTCTGATTGAATTGTAGAAAATTGTTGCATTTTTTTCTCTCGATGCCATTGCAATTGCTATGAATAAACGATAGATAACGCTTTTTTTGTGTTTCAAATAGACATGTTAACGGTTTTGCCGAACTGTCTATTGGTTTGGCCCAAAACATTGTGGCAAATATCATTTTTACTGCGTTACAGAGCAGTGACAGTGCCTTTTTTCCCTTAATTTCATTGTTTTTTGTTGCGAGAATGAGTGCCGTGCTGTTGAGCATGAAATGTTTGTTTCGAGCTTCGAATTCATCATTTTTTTTGCTAGGGATAGCCGCGAGCGCGATGGTATATGCTTTTTTCATCGTCGCCATCGTCGTTTCTTTTTGGAGAAATAACGTTGACGTTCAATCAAGACATGATTTTTATGACGGTATGCTTTATGCTATTTTTTGGTATTTTACGTGCTTTTTTTCTCTCTCTTTATCGATAACTGAAATTTAATTTCTCTACCTGAAACCATTCCAATGCATACACTCACAAACTCATCGATTTTTCGATTATTACTATTCGATCGAAACGGAATTACATTTTTGATGTGTTTTTACTTTGATCGGATTAGAACGATAAAAAAAGAGAGGAAAACAAAAAAAAATGTTTCACTGACTGAACGAGAGTGAATAATAAATATTCTTAAATGGAAAAAAAAATATTTTGGACTTTTTGCACCATATAAAAGGGCTGAAACATTTTTTTGGTAATTCGATTTATTCGCGTTAGTTTTGTTCGATTGATAGATAGAATTTTTGAAATAATGAAAGCATGGCCAACTTAAATGGAATTTCAATAATTTCAATTCATATTCGAATGAATCGACCGAAAATAAAATAAATGACAATGCTATTCTCAATCAAATAAACGCATTTGGTCTCTTTGTACCGATATTTATTTTCCTCATTGCCATTCTTTCTCTTCGTCTTTTTTCCATGAAATATCCAGTTTCATGTGAAAAATTGTAGATCGTTTTTCATTTGCCCGTCACCGAACCAATGGAAGCAAAACAAAAATAGATCCATGTTGGCAATATGTCACACATTGTGAAGAGAGCAAGTGAGTTAGAATACCGACCGAAAAAAGAGTGTGACCGAAATCGATTTCAAGTTAAATTTAGTCCTCGCTCATGCATCACACCAGTGAGAGAGATAGAGAGAGAAAGAGAGTGCGATGAGCGTGAAAATACACGCAGAACCAGTTTCATTTATGCCAATTAGAAGAAATGGGGGAAAATGAGGTAGAAAGCTTGAAATCGTCCATGAATTTGAGTTTCATCGAGATTGATTCGAGAGAGAGGAAAGGGAGAAAAATGTTTTTTTTTGTACTTGAAATGATAAGTTCATAAGCATCGATAACCGAGTTACCAAAATATGTGTCATTGAGTAAACGTTTTAAGAACACACACACACACACATTCCTATTTGAGTACTGCATATGAAGTGTTTTGGTATTCTCGGTAGAAGTTTCAATGGTAAACTTTCAAGCATGTGAATTAATCTGCAGTCGAAATGAAATCAAATCATGAGTGATTCTCACTCGAAATTGAATAAACATTTAGAGAGATAGAATGAGTTGAGCGAATGAAAGAAAATTATGATTGTCACTGTGTGAATCGAGTGAGTTTATCGTTTCGGTGTGTTGCATTCATGTTCCAGCATACCATTTCAAAATGAATCGAAATAATAATCTAAATTAAGAGCCGGCTCTGTATCGCTCTTCTCAGTTCCACCTCGCCACTCTCCAGTTACAAAATGGTTGTGTTTGTGTGTGTGTGTGTGTAACGCAAAAGTTTTTCCACAGCTACTTAGCAATTCGGTAATATTTCAACTTCCAATCCAGGAATATCACACATGTATTTTGTATCGTCATCATTTTGCATACATTGCGCCAATTATACACGCATTCTTGGCAACTTGGTCCGTATAGATAGAGAGAGAGAGAGAGAGAGAGAGAGAGAGAGAGAGAGAGTGTAGAGCAAGAGAAATGTATTTATATATGGAAATCGACTTTGCGATAAAACCGAACGATATCGTTGTCGACTTGCCACACATTGCACACGAACAAAAGGCCAAATCTCGCCCGCTTGCACTGAACGAAGACGATACAGACGTACGTGTGTGTGCTTGTGTATGAATGTTGTGTAAGGCACCCAGTTAACTTGACAATTTAAATTAAACCAATTCAGCTAATGTTTTATGCGATACATGGCTTCTTATCAAGATGCTGAATACGCACAAAATTTCCATCCATTATGTGAAATTAGAAATTAGACTGTATATCTCGGCGCTCAGTCTGAGCCACAGTGTGAGAAAGGTGTGCGACGGCACTGTGCCACTGATTTGGTTTGGTATGTTCTCAGTTCATGTATGCGACGCTTTGGGGGCTTTTTCATATAATTTAAGATGTTGGTATTCGATTCAAATTAGTCTTATAAATAGGCGGCAATCATAGACTTGGCGCGCCACCAGTTCACGCTCTCTCTCTCTCTCTCTCTCTCTCTCTCTCTCTCGTTTGTTCTCTTGTAAACCGCCCAGCTGGAGCGTATCAATCTGATAGAAGTATTTACCCCATCGAAATAAAAGAAGACGAAGAAGAAGCCATTTTCATGTGGAAAACACTCAATCTTTTAAGCGCAAGTATTTTTCACATGCCTAAACACAAATAACAAGCAACATCCAAACATAGATATACATTTATTTTCAAGGTCTTTATTCGATCTTCTTTCTCTCTATCCCATAAATATTCACGGTGTCTGCATTTTTGCGTTCAAAGACTATACGCTCGCTACACAAATTTATATGTATTTCACTTCGTTATCAATTTAAAATAAACAAAACAATGGGAAATTTAGCATTGTGCCTCTCACACCCTCTCTAATATCGTGATAACTGTTTGCACCTGCGACAATGAAAGCACCATGAAAACCCAGTTAAATTCGACACAAAATTACATTCTAATTGATTACGCATAATACACGTCCTTTGATTTCATTTTCAAGACTTTTCTCTCTCCGTGTGTTACACACTTTACCATCCGCACCGTCGAAATTACAATTGTAAATATACGTTTACCCAATATTACATCGTTAATTTTTGCCTTCGAGGTCAATGAGCAGCTTCTCCATTTAAAAGTCGTTGTTTGTGCACAGAGCTTCAGCCGAAAAAATCAATATTGTTTTATGAATTTTTCATGTTTAACAGTGAATTGCTAAAAAAATACGACCGAGTATCAGCATCAGCATCAGCATCACAACCACTCTGTATAAAATCGTTATTCGTTAAGTAAAAATAGCCAAAAAATGGTGAGCATTAGTGAAAATTCCCATCTCTCGGCGATAGGTCATGTTGATATAGAAGGGGATGAAATGTGCCGAGCCAATGCTCAGCATTTCAACCTTTTTTCCACCACATTTCCACTATGAGATTTGACTTTTAATGAGGATTTCGTTTTTTTTTTCAAACATCAGAAAAGGTTGCGCCCGTTTACAAAATGAAATATGTACACATGCAATCACTTATGTAAAGCCAACACAGACCAATTCAAAGATCGACGAAAGCTCGAAAATCTGCTGATTTCTATAATTCATTCACGAAAATCGGATTCAGTTCGCTGCATATTTAAAAACATTACCTGTTTCGAAGCGAACGCTTCGTCTGTACGAGACAAACAACAAATATATCTGACGTTGATATCAGCAAAATTGTGCGCGCATAAGCCTGAAAATAGTTGCCGTCGCTGGCTTTGCGCGATAACAATATTTTTTTGCTACACCCGTGGTCTTGTTTCACAACATAAATCTTAAACACTAATTAAGTCGTCAGTTAAATGCAATAAATAGTACTTACAGCTGAATATTTTTTAATGGAAATTCAAGAAGGATGATTGTTCATCATTTCCTTTGGTTTTGGATGGGTAAATATTGGTTGAGTTTGGGATTTAAGGATTATTTTGCTGGGCGAGGTTTTCTTTTTTTTTCTTTTTTTTTTCTTTTTTTTTCTTTTTTTCTCCTATTCTTTTCCTCCATCGTTGGTTTATGTAATAAAATGTAGACTAAATATGTGATAAAAGTGGTTTTGTACTCACGGCTTGCTTGAACATTATCGGGTATCCAAATTAAAAAGCAAAATAAGATGCTGGCTGCAAAGAATGCGGCTCTTTGCGCCGCTAGCAGCTCCATCATCACGTTGTTGATGTCTGTTTTTTAGGTCTGAATTCTGTATATATATCTTTTTGTCGGTCGGTCGTTAGATTCGTGTAATTTTCGCTATTTTCTCGAAATTCCTTATTAATTGTCCAGATAGGAATCTGTTTTCGTTTTTGGTATTTTTATGTTATTCTTTTTTCTCTTCTTTTCTCTTGCTATGTCAGTGTATTTTTGTCGCGCGCGTTTGTCGCAGAAATATTAGCTGAAGTAGCACAGATGCGAATCAGCAACAATTCGAACGTGCTAAACCGTTGGTCGAAATATGGTTGTATTGGAAAGACATCGGCACCTCTTTTTGGGGTTTTTTTGGTGCTGGCGCAATAGTGATGGTATGTGTTGCAATAAATTGCGATTGCGATCAATCGGACGTTTTTGTGAATCGGCTGGAGTCAATCAATAGCAATAAATATTGCGGGGTATTAAACTTCGTTCGTATTTCGTTATGTTCTGTTTCGTGTGTGTATATATTTCGAAATACACCTTATCAGTATTGCATCCGTGTTTTTCGCCGTATCTATTTAATTCCAGTTAGATTCATTCGTGTTGCTGATTAAGTGATTATGCGACAAATACCACTGACTCGATGCGTTGTGCTTCTGCTATAATATCGAATAAATTTTCGTGTTTAGTTTTTGTTTGTTTCGGGCGGAATGAGACCGAATTGGATTTGTGTGTGTGTGTGGGTGTTTCCCGAGGTGGCCAATTTTCATGTGATTTCCACCGAAAATTGATCGAAAATGAGATGAAAATCATCACACACATACAAATACATCGCAGGAGAAAAAACACGTCACACGAAAATCGAAAACGATAATCAACAAAAAAGAAGAAGAAGAAGAAAAGGGAAAAAAGAGACGGAAATTACTTTGGAATTCTTGTATTTTCGTAGATTACCTGTTGTCATGTGACATTTCCAATGTGACTAATTTCGATTTATACGCGTTTTACTTTTTTCTTTCTTTCTCGTATGTAGCGAAATTGTTTTCGTTTTAACCGTTCGACCGAAGTTTGAATTCGAAAATATCTCTATTCGTTACTTTCGTTGAGCAAGTAGAAAAGTGACACTTGAAAAATGGTTACGATCATATAATGCTCTTAAAAAAATGTATATCTGTTCGAAGTGCGATTTTGACTTCGTCTTTCATCTACTCCTAAAACCAACTTTCTTTCGTTGACCATTCGGGCTTTTTCATTAAATTTATCGCCGTTTTTTTCCGTTTTTCCCCCACTCCTTTCTGTTCCTTGCGAAAATGGGAATAACGATATTGCGAATTACGGAACCAACCGAGGGAAAAAAAGAATTGCAAGTACAAACGAATTTGCCGAAAATGGTCAAACCAAAATATTTATATACTTGCTAGACTATTTTCTTGCGCTTCTCTTACAGATCAGCGCGCAGATATATGTTCTACGTACGTCGATGTCTTTTCCTTCCGACGTGTTTCTTTTTTCGTGCTCGCACATTTAAAAATGCGATATGGGAGGAAAAGCTTGAGGATTGATTTAGTGTGCCAATGGTTTATTTTAAATGGTATTACTAAGACGTTTTGTTTTGGTTTTTATTTCTCTTTTTTTTCGTTTTATATTTGTGAGCTGCTGCTCGTTCCTGGTTATTTTTTTCTGGTCTGTATTTATTATTTTGGATGTTGGTTGAAGAAGACGACACTGCCTTGTAGATCCAAGTGCCTTAATGCTCCAATGCACTGCAATGGTATCCGGAATTCGCTGACATATGTACTATCGTCTCACATGGGCACACGTTTTGCACCAAAGAAACAAAAAATACACACCATTTACACTTTTCTCTCTGGTTTATTTCACCATTTTTCTTACTTCTTGTTCGCTACAATTTGGGGTGCGAACGCGTTAAGCTCACGATTTTGCTACAACTACTACAACTTCTTTCTTCTTTTTCTTCTTCCAAATACATTTATTTACTTTTTTTTCACTCTTTGTTTTTCGTTTCACTTTTTCACTGTATTTCTTTATTTTGTGGCTTTCTATTTCATGAATTGATTCTCTCTGTATGTGTGTGTGTGTGTTTGTGTGTGTTTCTCTCGTTGTGTCGTCGTTGTCGTCTTTGGGCTAAGCTAACTTTATCTTTATTGCGCACAGTCACCCAAACCAACACATTCTCAAGTATTCACACAGTGTTGCGAGAAACACTTTATTATTAAAAATAATAGCTTTTTCACGTATAGGTTTTGGTTTTATTTCTAGCCATCGCCTCTACTTCAAAACACTTCATCCAACCGTATTCACCAATCTTTGGGCTTCTTTTATTTTATGTTCCCCAGATAAACAAACAACACTTCTTCTTGCACTTAGTACTTGTTATGATTTTTTCTTCGCCTCTTTTTCTCTCGGTTCTCTTTTCTCGTTGTAAATTCACTCTTGAAAATACACACGCACACTCATTTATATGTTTTGTCGTATTTTTTTTTTGGTTCGTTCGATTTTTCGCAAAACCGCCCAAAACTATTTGGCATAGAAAAACAATGAGTTCGCTTTTATCAAGTTCTTAACACCCAATGACGAAGAAGTGCAATCGGTTGGTTTGTTGTGCATTTTAACACAGAAACAAAAAATCACTTTGACGATTACCTCACTAGCTGTTTTTCGTATTCACTCTTTGATTTTCGGTTTTGGTTAACGGTTTTCGAAAACAGCTTTTCGTATCGATCAATCTATGGTGCACACTATGCAAATGAGATGGAGTGCCAATTACTCGGGGCGCGTTCGTTTACTTCGTCGTCGTCTCTTGTACCGTTTCGTATGCAATTGCACATTGATATACATAACAAAATGGGTGCGGGTGTTCCTTTGATCAATGATACAAACAGTAAAACCATGTATGAAAATCGAATTTATTCAATTAGATGCGTTGTAATTCTCTGTCTCTGTTTCTCAAATGATTGACACACACATTCTCCGGTCGCTCTTGGAAATTGAAATCACATCACGGCAGTCGTCGGTATCGTTGTTCATTGCACGGTTGCATTCACATTTTTTTTTGCTGTTGTTGTTGTCGACGCATATCAAGTTTGTTGTTGGCTTCCGTCAATGATAGTGCATAATGCACATTGTGTGTGTGTGTGTGCGCTGTGCTGTGCGTCGAGTGACGAGTGAAGGGAAACTTTTTTTTTCTCTAAATGAAAAACTTTTTCGTCTTTCCGCTATCAAACGGAAAAACTGTAAAGTTAACGTTCATCGTTTTTTGTGTCTGTATGTACACGTACAGCGTGGAATATATGAGAGCGGGAAAAAGCGGCCGAGTTTTGATAGAGCTTTGCGAGAGTTGCTTGTAGTGTGCACTGAGTCGAAATCAAATAATCTACCGCCGAACGAAACTAATTTGCATTTAAATGCTTGAGCCGAGTTGTGTGTGTGTGTGTTTTCTTTCGTCTTTTGTGGAAGTAGTTGGTCGCATTCATTCGTTGCTGCTGTATATTTGAAGCCAAGCTAAAGCCAAGCCAAGCCAAGCCAAGCGCGATAGTATATTTTTCACTTTTCACTCTCGAACATTTTTAGTTTAGACTATGCAAATGCACTGCCTCTGCGACGTCTCTCGCTCTTTATTTTTGTATCACGCCAGTAAATTGAGACTAGGAACTAAGAATTAAACAAGCGAAGCAACGCGCGCGTAACAAACAAGACACACCAAGTTAAATTTGAATTTACAATCTACGTCGATTGTAAACGGCTTGTCTTTTTGCCTTGTTCCAAACTCCTTTTGAGCACGCAAATTTTCTCCCGCGTTGCGCGTTTCTCGCGCCGTTTCAATTGTTTGCCTCTTTTTTTTTGCTGTTTTCCACTATTGCAGCTTGTCTTCTTTGGCCCTAACTGGTATTGTATCCCAGTCTCACTCTCTTGATCACACTCTATATCGCTTGCTGCTGTTCGACTGTTGAAATGTTCGGTTTTATTTGGTTTGGCATCTGTTTTCGTTTCTGGGTAAAAATGTTCAATTCACCCTCTCCTTCTCTCTTCGCGCGCGCCGGCATACAAAATGCAATCCGACAATCTATTCCGCAAATAAATTGTGCCTGCGATGTTTTACAACATTAGTTCTGTTTATTTCTTTCATCAGCATCATCATTGCGTTGTTTTTTTCGTCGACTTCGTTGTTGCCACATTCAATATTACATATTCGTCTCTCATGCTCTGTTTGTGCTGCGCCGTGTTCGTGACAAACTACAATGGGGATTTATTCCCTCGACTTTTTTTTTCGTCGGTAGTGATGGTGTGTGTGTGTGCGCCGTTTTGTTACACAGCCATCCAACTCACTCTCAAACTGTGTTTAGCTGTATCTCTCTGATGGTGCTGTGTGCTCTTTTCTGTTGTTTTTGTTTCGTCTTCTGTCGGTCGCGCTCAATAACGATTTCACTCGAAAATTCCTTCAGCCGAAAGTGAGAGAGAGAGAGAGAGAGCTATGGTTTGGCTTTATCGTGTGGTCTTCATTGCCACACAACTGCACAATTTCGGGATTCATTAACATAAATGGAAAATTCTTCACTTGAAGCACTGACGACGACGTGCATTATCCGCCGCGCGAACGCAAGCACTTATACTGTTCGTTTTTCTTCTGGTTGGTGCTGGTTGCCTTTTTTTTCTCTCTTCTCTTTCTCCGTTCGTACTTTGTACGTGTGTTTAAGTAATATTATTCTTGAGTCATTTCTTGGTTGTTTTTCTTCTTTTTCACAATTTCCACCATTCTCATTTCATGTCATCGTTTTTGGCTTAACACAGCTCAAGACGGCTCTTAATATTCGGCGCTGCGCTGTACTGCCGTGTTCAATATGCTTATCGTTGCTACGTTTTTGGGACGCGCCACTCGTTCAAGAAAGATGCAATAAACAATTTTAACTTTCAAATCATTACTAATTTATGTGGTAATTTTACATATTGTACGTTTCATTCTTTGGGGAGGTTGTTCGTGTTGTTGTTGTTGTTGTTTTTTCTTCTGTTGGACGTTTCGTGTCGTTGATTTCTGGCTGTTGTCTGTTTTTCGCTGCCCACAAAATGCCAGCGCTTTCTTTTCGTTGAGAGTCTAAATGAAATGACGGATTAAACTATCTTGCTGCTCGACGACAACGACAAATTTCAATCCTTTCATTTTAATTTCATTCAAAATGCGCCGCTCTTTATATCACTCGTAATGCTTGCATACTAAACAGTGTCGGCACGGCCGCTGCCAACCGAATCGATTGCATAATTATCTTCGTGGTAAAACCCGGATTTTTAGTTAAATTCCGCTGTCGACAGTTCCTATGCGGTTTGGACAATGTTGTTGGGAATAGAGAAAAATTGAAAGAATAGCAAATGAAATTTTCAGGCGCTTCGAATTGCCCGTGGAAAAATGTGTTGTGTGTATGCCTTGTTTCTGTCGTTAAAAAAAAACAAAGCTTAACCATCGTTTCAGCCAGTTCGTTTCATCATGAAATGTAAATTTGAATCAATTAACAAACGATTTAGTGGAGATTCAGTTCGCGGAAACAAAACTGACGACAATTTACATTGGTGGATTAAAATGTTGGAACAAAAAAAAATTAAAACAAGATTGCCTATTGAATGACAAAAAAAGTTGAAAATTCCACTG